TTTATGTCGTCTTTGATTTCTTTCAATAATCACTTCTAGTTTTCAGTGTATAGGTCTTTCACCTCCTTGGTTAAATTTATTCCTAGATACTTTTTCCTTTTTGTTGTGATTGTAAGATTTTTTTCCTTGACTTCTCTTTCTGCTAGTTCATTATTAGTGTATAGAAATGCAACTGATTTTTGTAAGTTGATTTTGTATCCTGCAACTTTGCTGTAGTTGTTGATTATTTCTAATAGGGAATCTGAATAGACCAATCACAAGTAAAGAGATTGAAACAGTAATTGAAAACCTCCCAAAAAATAAAAGTCCAGGAGTAGATGGCTTCTCTGGAGAATTCTACCAAACATTCAAAGAAGATTTAATACTTATCCTTCTCAAACTATTCCAAAAAATTGAAGAAGACAGAACACTACCTAACCATTCTATGAGGACAACATCACCCTGATACCAAAACCAGACAAGGACAAGATGAAGAAGGAAAATTACAGGCCAATATTGCTGATGAACATAGACGCAAAAATCCTCAACGAAATATTGGCAAACTGAATACAGCAATACATTAAAAGGATCATACAGGGGCCGGCCTGGTGGTGTAGCAGTTAAGTTCATGCACTCCTCTTCGGTGGCCCAGGGTTCTCTGGTTCGGATCCTGGGCATGGACCTAGCACTGCCCATCAAACCATGCTGTGGCAGCATCCCTTATACGAAATAGAGGAATATTGGCACTGATGTTAGCTCAGCAACAATCTTCCTCAAGCAAAAAGAGGAGGATGGGCAGCAGATTTTGACTCAGGGCCAATCTTCCTCACACACACACATAAAACAAACAAGAATCATACACCATGATTAAGTGGGATTTATACCAGGGACACAAGGGTGGTTCAACATCCACAAATCAATCAATGTGATGAACCACATTAACAAAATTAGGAATAAAAATCACATGATCATCTCAACAGATGCAGAGAAAGCATTTGACAGGCTCCAACATCCACTTATGAAAAAACTCTCAATAAAATGGGTATAGAAGGAAAGTATCTCAACATAATAAAGTCCATATGACAAACCCACAGCCAACATCATGCTCAGTGGGGAAAAACTGAAAGCAATCCCTCTGAGAACAGGAACAAGACAAGGGTGCCCGCTCTCAACACTCCTATTCAACATAGTACTGGAGGTTTTGGCCAGAGCAATTAGGCAAGAAAAAGAAATAAAAGGGATCTAAATTGGCACGAAAGAAGTGAAACTCTCACTGTTTGCAGATGACATGCTCTTTTATATAGAAAACCCTAAAGAATTCACTACAACTTTATTTTCCATCACCCAGACCACATCCTCCTTGCCCTGGGCCCTCCTGACCACGAGCTGGCCCAGGTTGCCATGGAACCAGCTGCTGCTGTCGAGGAACAGCCTGTGATGTCCCGCTCGTTGCCTGAAAGCCTCTGAGACGATGATTTCCATTGCCAGAAGTTCTGTGAGTTGGCTTCTAGTAGGAAAGGAGGGTTGAACCTTGGGGGATGCTCACATTGCAGGATTTGCTATCCTGCAGGCCAGGCACTTCAGGTTAGCAGAGAAGCCCAGCAACAGTTCTGAACACAGACTACTGCGGCTCAAATCTGGCCTCCACATCCTGGCCATTGGTCCCTTGACAAGTGTACTCATCCCTTCTGTCCCTCAGTTTCCTTCCTTTAAAAGGCGATATGACTCCACCTTCCCTATAGGATTGTTTGAGGGTTAAGTAAAATAAAATAGCATATGTGCTGAAAGATAGCAGGCAATATTATTATTTCTATGTAAATTGCTTCTCTCCTCAGAATTCTCCCTGAGCCCATTTTCTTTTGAAACCTAATTCAAAGAAATGAAAATTACAGCGAGATACCACGTCTCATCTATCAGATTGGCAAAACTCCCGAAGCCTAACAATACACCCGAAGCTGGTGAGGCTGTGGGGAAGTGGACATTCTCACCATCGCCAGGGGGACGCAAACTGCCACAAGGCTGTGGAGGGGCAATTGAGGACATCTAGCAAAAATACACATGCCCTTATCCTTTGACCCAACAAAGTCACTTCTAGGAATCTATCCCGGAGATATACTGGCAAAAACACACAAAAAGTCTAAGAGACATATCGACCAATTGCAACGGATGGAACTTATTTGGGTCCAGATTTGAACAAACAAATTGTCATCACAAGACAAGGAAATGTGAACACTGATTGGGTGTTTGACAGTTCTGTTGTATTATTATTAATACTTTTATGTGTAATCATAGTATTATGGTTATGTTTTTATTAAACGGTCTTTATCTGTTAGAGATACTTACTGAAATATTTATGAATGGAATACAGTGTCTGGGATGTGCTTAAAAATAACTCAGGAGGAGGGAATAGGTGAGTGACAGGTACTTGGGTGGTTACTACAGTGTCCTATTTTTGTATATGCTTCAAATTTTCCATAGTAAAATGAAGACATTACAGATAAAGCAGAAATCCCCCTTGCCCCTGGCTAATCCTCAGACCCGCCCCTCTCCTCAGGTGACCACTGTTTTCAGTTTGCTCTGAAGCCTTCCACACATTTTTCTGGGCACTTAAGTACTATATATGTACTCACAAGGGATAGGGGACAGCATTTTGGGGGGACTGCTTTTTCCACTTATGGCAATGACATCATCCTGATGGATTGTCCTGCCTCATGCTTTCTGCCAGCCATATGTCTTGGAGAGCCTCCATGTAGCACACAGAGATCTATTTTTCCATTGCTGCACTGGGCAGCATGGTAAAGCTGTACCACAGGTTATTTACCCACTCCATAGTGATGGGCATTTTTATTGTTTCCACTTCTTTTGTGCCTACAGTGAGCATCCTTGGATATATCTCCTCGTGCAAGAGAGAGCATTTCTATAGGATAGATAATTAGAAATGGTTATTATAGGATAGACTGTTAAGTCCTAGGTTATTTTCAGCTCTGTGTTAATAGGTACTGGCCCTGCCTTCCCTGTATCCTGTTTTCTGTCACTAAGGTCCCAGAGCCTTGTTTCCACCTCAAATGGCGTCCCTATTACCAGCATTCCTATTATTTCATAACTTTGTCCCCAGCTCACTTCCCACCTCCCTAATTTCTTAGAATTATTGCTCTACGCTCACATCTCTTCCCCCTGCTTTGTGATCCGATCAACTCAGCTCTCCCCCGCCTCCATGCCTCTCTCTCCTCCCTTCCTCGGGAAGACCCCCTGCCATGGACCTGCACCCTCTGATCCCTCATCATGTGTCACCCACATTCCCACTGCTCTCTGCCCTCTAGCCACAAGGGCCTGTAGCTCTCTTCAGATGTTCTCTGACCCCTCCACGTCTTCACACACTGTTCCCTCTGGCTGGAATGTTCCTGTCCTGCCCCATCTAGTGACCCAACTTGACTGTCACTTCCTTGAGGCAGCCAACCCTAATCTGGAAGTCCTGGGTAACCTTCACGATAGCACTTAGAGCAATTTTTAATAATACATATACTTTTTGATAAATCTGATTAACGTCTGTCTTTTCTATTAGATCTAAAGCACTATGAGGGCAGAAATTGAGTGTGTTTTTCTCACTCTTGTACATCCAGCATCTATCACAGTGCCAAGAGCATAATAGGGTCTCAATAAATAGTCGTTGAATAAATGAATTCGTAAGTGAAGGAACTATGGAACGCCTATTCACATATGGACAACTTCCGTCATTTGCACGTTTGCTTCTATCAAGTGACAGTTCACCCACAAGGTCCAACGGTAGAAGAGATTCAAGCATCTAATGGGGTCGCTGGCCAGGATTCCCTTCCAGGCCCTTTTCCAGATCTCAAGTTCCATGTTTTAACACCACAACAGCTCTTTCCAGAAACACTCCTCCAGCTAGAAGAGATGCCTCACAGTTGCCTCTCAATTCCCGCAGCACCTCTCAGAGCACAGTCAGCGTTGAATCTGGAGCACCATCATTCATGGTCATGGCTCCTCGGCTACTGGACCCGGTGGTCAGGGTCTGGATCTCTGTGCCTCCTCTGGGTCTGATCGCTGCATGGCTCCTAGTATATAATCAATAGAACATCACTGAGAGAGACAGCGAAGGAGTGACTGTGGGGCCTGTAAGTACCAATTCTCTTCTAAATGTGGGGTCTCACTGAGTGCTGGTCCAAGAGCCAAGACATACTCCAAAGTGCTTTCAAGAAAAAAAAAATCCTGGTGCTGCTGCTTCCTCTCTGCAGCTCTCTCTGTGTCTGCCAGGTCAGAATACCATCCGGAAAGGCTCTTTATTCCCACAGTGCAACAGGAGCCCAGCCCCTCGCTGCAGCGCCTGCTGGGCCAGCAGGTCAGAGTCCCTGGAAGTGTTCCGCAAGCCCCGGGCGTCTGCTGCCCGTGCAGCTCCTTCTTTAATTTGGCTGCCAGAGTGTTGAATGCCAAGTTTTTCTGGGCAAGCCTAGCTACTTTGGTGGCTGGCATATCTGTTTTCCTCCTCTTAGTCACCATTTTTTTCCCCTCTGAAAATCCTTATTTCATAAATTTTATTGTATGAATTTTTTTGTAAGTTGCTTCAAATTCAATCAAGGAGGAAAAAGAGCCAGATAAGGATTCTGAATAAAAGTTTAACCTAAGGTCTCCGCTTTATGGTTCTACCGCATGAATTGGAAAGAATGTCAAGATTGAAAGGACTTCAGGCAACATGTGCACCTTCAGAAAATTTCACCCTTCTTTGGAGAAATGGTGGACTCCAGAGCTGGGGCACAGAAAGTACAAGATGAACTTGGAACATTTTGTGGTGCTAGAGAGTATGGAAGTGCTCAAAGAAGGATGGGGGATGTGACAAAATACGGCCCACTTTGAAGGGGCCAAATCTGGAACAATTTGAGCATCATAATAAAGAATGATAGTCAAAGAGTATAACCCATTGAATAAAATAAGAATAAATAAGCCTACACACAATTTATTAATTAGTTGGGGAAGAAGTTGTCGTCCTGACAGTCGAAAGACAATAAGCAAATATAAAAGGAATGATGGAATTAGAAAATCACTGCTTAGCAGCCACCATATTAATAAGTTTCAGGCAAGAATCATCCACGGATGAAAACACTGGTGGGTGAAAGTTTGAGGAGTAACAGAGTATTTACACAGCCTCCAACAGCATCAACGGTAATGGAGGGATCAGTGCCACGTGCTTCCTGATGTGATGCACCGAGAAAAATGCAACACTCCTGCTGCAGTATTTCTGCTAGAGAATCACAGTCTGAATCTAATCACGGAAAACATCAGACAGATCCAAAGTAAAGGCTATCCTATGAGATAACCGGCCTGAGAAATGTACATCTAAAAAGGGTGAATTCTACCCTATGAAGATTATGCCTCAATATACCTGATTTTTAAAATATATAACTGACCTGCATTCCTCAAAAATATCAATGTCAGGGAAAATGAAGAAAGACTAGGAATTATGCCAGATTATAGGAGACTGAATAGATAAGGCACATGAATGCAACGTGTGATACAGAACTTCCTTTTGTTATAAAGAACATTACGGGGATAATGGGCAAAATCTGAATAAGATTTGTACATAGACAATAATATTGTATAAATGTTAACTTCCTGATTTTAATAACTCTACTAGGGTTATGTAAGAAAATGATCTTGTTTTTAGGAAATAGGCTTTTTAGTATTTAGCAGTAAGAGGGCATTATATTATGTCTACATTTAAGATTAAACAGTAGATAGATTGGATGAATGGATGGAGGGATGGATGGATGGATGGACGAATGGATGGATGGTGTTAAAATAAAATAAAGTGAAGACCAGGCCTGAAGATCACCCTAGCAGACAAAACCAGTTAAGCCACATAACCAAAGCTTATTCTAGGTTATCTCATGAATGTAAGCAAAACTTAGGTTATTTCTTATAAATGCCTCTGATAATCATAAATAAAACTTAAATCATCTTCCTAAAATGATGTAAGATAATAGGTTTCAACCAATCCCATGCCATGTGAAAAACCTCATTGTAATAACCCATCACAGTAAAGGTTTAACAACTTCTGCATTTCCCCTTTATAAGCTATCCTGCTATGTCATGCCTGTGAGCTTCATATCACTGTCGGGTCTGAAGTCTCCCTGTTCACAATCGTTTTGTTTCTTGCTCAATAAAATATTCATGTCTAGAAAAGCTCCCAGAATTTCTTTTTGCAATAGGTGGGTGGATGGATAGATGAATAAATAGATAGATAGGATAAAATGGTAAACTGTAACATCTGAGGACTCTGGATGAAGGGTATATGGGACTACTTTGTATTATTCTTTCAACTTTTCTGTAGGTCTGAAATTACACCAAAGTCAAAAGAAAAAACCCTTTAGAAGAGAGAGAAAGATAAAAGTTTGCCCCCAAAGCACCTGCCCTGACAGGTGGGTATCCTCCTGATCTTTACAACCTTGAGGGGGAAACTTGCCCTCTTCTCTCGGAAGCCTGCCTTGCGCTCCCAACCACTTAGTTCAGCAACACTAACTTGAACCCTCTCTGCCGTAATTTGATCCATCTCCACTATTCTGAATACAGTGAGGTGAAGCCATACAGCTGTACAAGGCTCTTCTCGCAAGACATTACAGACCCGTCCCTCATGGCACGGCTCCCAGTTGTAATTCCACATTGATTTGTGTCATGATTGTGTCTGTCTCTCCTGCTGTGCCACAAGTTTCAGGAAGGCAGAGAGTGTGTCTGGCTTGGCTGAACACTGTACCCCCAGTGCGGAGCCCAGTACAAAATGAAAACGTGGGGCCCTGGTTCAAAAATGATTAAGAATTTCAAGACGGCAACAGAGCATTAAACCAAGCTCAAAGTCCTTCCGAGCATGGGGTCCTGTGCAAGGGCAAGGGCGGCGCACCCATGAAGCCAGCACTGGCCAGCACGGTACCTGGTGCAGAAAACGGGCCAGTAAATGTTTGCTACATGAATGGATGAGTAAACAAAAGCTTCTTAAACACATTTCCAGGCTGAATGTAAAGCTGACCTCTCCTGCAGCTAAAACTGTTATATTGATGATTGACGTGGGCCTTCTTAAACCAACTCTGAATGGGTCTGGACTGCAGGGGGCGCAATTCCCACCAGGCAGCAGGGATAGTAAGCCCCCAACGCTCCACATCCTCCGCCCTCAGCCAGTGACCTGTCCCAGGTCATCCTGGGCTCTCAGGGGTTCTGAATCTCCATGCAGGCGTGCAGCTCCTGCCAGCCTCTCCTTGCCGTTTCCGTGCCTCCTGTTGGCCCCCCTCCTCTGCATCTCCTCTTCTGACTCAGTCCTAGCAGAGAACATCCTGAGGAGGGCGAGCCCCTCTGGAGCCCCCAGCATTAACAATCCCTGGCTGTGCCAAACTGGGCACTGAGGCGAAGCCACCAAACCCCTTTTCACTCCTGACCTACATTGCCACTGGTTCCATGGACTGTGCCTTCTGCAAGTCAAGGGGGGAAACGTTACTATGACAACAGCTCCTGGAGCCGCAGGGATGCAGAACACCTACTTAAAATGAGTTCACTTACCCATATGGCAAATGGACTTCATTAATTGTTTCTGAATCAAATATCCAAACAAGGTGGGCTGAAAAGAGAATATTTTCGCAGGGCTAATTCAGACTCTAGCACCAGAGCTACCGGTTAGATATCAGAGAGTGAAGATAGAGTACCATAGTTTTTTCGGTTTTGTTTTCTTAAAGACGAATATTATTACAAGTTAGCCATGTGCTCCCTGGCTGATGTGAACTTGCCAATATAAAAAAGAAACAGACATCTATGAGCAAGGGCTTATTCCTTCTCTCCTGAAATCCCGGTCTTGGTTGGCTCCTATCATGTTCTCCTCATGGCTGTCTGTGGTTTCTGGCTCTTTCCGCACCATCACCCAGCAAATACTGTGTTGCGAGAGAAAAAGAATAAGCTTCGTAGGTCCGAATTTTAGCTTTGCTATTTATGAACTGTGTGATCTCAGGCAAGTTATTTCTTCTCTGAGTCCCAGTTTCTTCATGGAGATGTTCATTTATTCATCCATCCAAATGCTCACAAATGTTTCTTCAGCAACGACCATGTGCCTGAAGTAAGAACACCTCCCCCGGAGGGGCGGGGGGTGGTCTGAGCCCACTGTTAGGGGTCAAAATCAATGTTGAAATCCTGATTGCTCCTTATCTTCGCTTTCCTTCCTGACCCACGCCCCAATCAAAATTAGTAACAGCCGCCTCTGACTTCCACAGCACCAGGCTGGGGGCCCCCTCACAGCCCAATTTGATTGGGTTTTGTTCTTGACTATGTGCCTGTGTGACCCGCTTAGACTCCGAGAGGGCTCCTCAAGCCTGGGGACCGGCTTCCTATGCAGCCCGCTCTCCCCAGGACCTGGCACCAAATCATTGTAAGCCAGCGCCCGTATAATTCAAGACGCTGTTAGAGCCAATGCCAGTAAGTGGTTTTGCCCTTTTCCTCATGTTCCTCGTAGAATCAATGAGTTCAAATCATAATCACCCTCCAGTGGTGGCTCCAGAACTCCTATACGGGGGTGGTTCAGAGGGCACCTGGCTGGGAGCTATAACACCACAGGCTGAGCAGGACTTCTGTTGTAAGGAGAGTGCACTGGCATGACTGTTCCGGGGAGCTGAAGCTGCGTTTGCTTGGGAAGCAGTCTTTTTGCTTGGCTTATTTGTGTATGAGGTGACTTGGGCAGGGCGTGCGTGGAGATTATGAACGAACTTGACCCCCAACCACCTTTGGAATCCCCAGTCCTCATCATCTTCCAGCTGAGTGTCTGTTATCTGATCCTGCGCATCCCAGAAAGTGACCTATGACACTCCTCACTGCCTTCCTCCAAGAGGACATCTTTCTTTTGTCTCCTCTCTCAGCTGAAAGCCTGGTCTCAGGGGAGCTCTACAGAGAAGAAAAACTCAACATAAAACAGGGCATGAAATCTTCTGGTGAACCTGAAACCTCGTCACCCTTCCTTAATTGCAGAGTCTCCCTTCCCAGCAGGGCTTGAAGAGAAATGTGGAACATCACTGGTAGTCCTGCCTGGACACGATTATGTTCTAGTTACTGCCTACAAGGATCTGCTTGGTATTTCTCATCTTACTCTGATTGCATTCAAAACTTGATTAGATTCTATTGATTCTGTCATAAAAAGATAAAGTCAATCTGCTTTTCCCCCTGTAGCCTTCACTTGCTTAATATCAAAATCCCACCTGTGCCCCATAGGCTTAAACCTACATTTCTCTGCTCCGCTCCACTTCCAGTCCTTTCTCTTTCCCTTCTCAAAGCTGACATCTCCCCTCAGTCTTGCGAACAGGCTTTAGTTTTTATTGCTGTTATTTGCTGATCTCCATCAGGGTTATTTGCTGTCCCAGCTACCAGAGGGGAAAGGAGAAATATTTCTCCAATCCCAGATAGTTTTATTGGCCAAACTATTTTTCAATGAATTCTTCTGTGTTTATTGGCTCCAAGTGTTATTTTTTTCCATTATAAGTAATTCCCCTTGTGATGAAGGGAAGGCAAATTGTGACCTCTGCTGGAGGTGAACCACCTTGAGTGGTCTCTACATCCACTCTCTGTTATGTGGCGAATGCTCACTCACCTTTTAAGACTCAACTAAACGTCCCTACTGTGTGAAGTCTTCCTTGGCTCCCACAGGCAGTTGAAAGCAGAGGAGAAAGAAGAAAGAAAACCAAACTGAGACCCAAAAGGGATTCATGAATGATAGTCATACAAAGATACAGTTATCAAGAGCTCACACTGGCCAGTGACATGAGACCTGAGTTAACTCACTTTTCCCCAAATTTCAGTTACTTGCATCATGTCTGGATTTTTTGCCATATCTGAGTATCACTTATACTCTCATTTACTTATAATTTTTCTTAATACCGACTTACTTTTTCTGCCTTATTTATGTTTATTTATTTATTTTTTGGTGAGGAAAATTGGCCCTGAGCTAACATCTGTTGCCAATCTTCCTCTTCTTGCTTGAGGAAGATTGTCACCAAGCTAACATCTGTACCAATCTTCCTCCATTTTGTATGTGGGATGCCAGCACAGCATGGCTTGATGAACAGTGTGTAGGTCTGTGCCCGGGATCCACACCTGCAAACCCTGGGCCACCGAAGCAGAGCACACGAACTTAACCCCTTATGCCACCAGGCCAGCCCCTATTTATTTATTTTTTAACAGAAAGTTTTGCACCCCTGGGTGGTCATGCAAGCCAACAGGTTTCTCATGCTTTTAAGAATTTTTTTTTTTTTTTTTTGCAGGAGATTCCTTAAGCTAACATCTGTTGCTAATCTTCCTCCTTTTTCCTTCCTTCCTCTCATCCCCCCAAAGCCACCAGTACATAGTTATGCATAGTTGTAGGTTCTTCTGGTTTTTCTCTGTGATCCACTGCCACAGCATGGCTACTGATGGACAAGTGCTGTGGTTCCGTGCCCAGGAACCGAACCCGGGCTGCCAAAGCAGAGCATGTTGAATTTTAACCACTAGGCAAGAAGGGCTGGCTGTACGTTTGTACTTAAAGAAACCTTATTAACATCTCTTGTCATAACCAGGAGGTAACTAGATAATTTTAAAAATGAATACACTGAAAACAAAACAATGGGACTAAATTTTAGCCTGCCAGGTCTCTGACCTTGAAGTCTGTTCTCTCCTTGTCAAAAAAGGCAGTTAGAAAATGTCCGGTGTCAAAGCTATCTCAGCACCAAACTGAGACTGGCTCCTTAAAAAACGTCAGGAGGACCGAACAAGAATTGAGAAGGGGATGACGTTCTCATCAAGTGACCAATGCCCATAGAAAGCCACCTAAAAATCATCTGGTGCGCCACCTGGTATCCCTCCAGACGCCAGTGGTGCCTCTGCCACACGAGAAGAATGAGGTCAGTGCTCATAGAAAGGTTGATTCCATACTACTCACAGATTTCTCCCACGTTCCGTGAGTCTCCTAACCCTTGCTCAAGCCTCCAGACCTACAAACCCTAGAAAATCTAAGCTCAGCACCCCACAACACCAGGCCCCTCCTGGAGAAGCCAGGAGCTAGGCCGGAATTCTGGCCACAGACACACAAGATTAAGAAATTTTTAAAAATACTTTTAAATCCAATTCAGCAGCAAAACCACTCCTCCTTTCTATCCCTTTACTCTCACCATTTGTGCTTTCTCTCTTTCCAGAGTATTCCTGACTAACATGTCTCTTAAACTAGAGGTGAAAAAACCACTCATGGAGAATCCATGCAGATTCTACTCCCCAGGAAAAGCAAACTTCGTGTGAGGAGATGTTTTAGGAGGTGGGCCTGAATTAGCAATAGTAAAAATAACGTTCACTGTGAGAGCCAAAAATGAGGAAAATCTAAACTCCCAGCAACAGGGTAATTGATTCTAGGAGCCATGGGACACTTATACAATAGAATTCTAGGCAGCCATTAAAAACTATGTCTTAGGAGTATGTAATTGATATAGAGAGATATTTACATCATAGAATCCATTCAGGCATCTATCTGTCTAGTATGACTATATAGACTAAATACGAAGACATAGATCAAGTATTCTTGAAGCTTCCTTGGCTTCCATGAAACATTGCATTAGTTCCTTGAGTTATAGAAAAGAAGGATTCATGTTCAAGTACATTGAAAAAACTCTAGATTAATCACAGTGAAATGAGTTTTTTTGCAACTAAATTTCCCAAATCTTTGAATACACTAATGTGCATGATGACTCTCCAAGAGGAGGTGCTAGGGTGACCCATTTTCTAAACTTGTTTAATCAGGAGACTGGTGTCCTGGGACCACACTTTGGAAAAGACAGATGGATGGATGATAGAATGCACGCATCAATGGATCACTACAGAAGTCTAGAAGGTGAGCACCAAACGTTAACAGTGATTCTATCTGGCTACTAGAAACACAGGTGACTTTTATGGGTGTATTATTATTATTATCTTGTGACTTTCCCACAATAAACATTTCTATTTATATAAGCTGTTTTGTTACTGTTTTACTTTTTTAAAATGACTGGAGAGAGGATGGAGATGGGGAAGAAAGTTCTCATTGTTAGAGCCAGCTGTGTGACTGCCTTGTACACATGCCGATGTTAATCATTGCTCTTCAAACACAATGAGGCAGACCCCCTGGATGCCTTTCTTTTTCAATTTTTTTATTCAGATAAAATTCACCTAACATAAAATTAACCATTTTAACGTGTAAAATTCAGCAACATCTAGTTCATTCACAATGTTGTGCAACCATCACCTCTCACTAGTTCCAACTGATAGGCATTTGATGAGGATGGCTAGCACTGTGCCTTGAATATATGTCCCACCCTCCATCTTTTTCCACAAAGAATTGAGATGGGCTGTCAAATGCATAAATACTTACTAAAATTGATAAAGCAGAAAATCAGAGCTATAAAAAAGGAAAAAGCGATAAATACACCAACCGTGAGGTTAACATGATGCTTGTGATTGGGCATCAAGAGCATCACTGAGCTTCCCAGCAGCTAGGGCAAAATGGGAAACACACAACACATGGCTGTTATCAGAAAGGAGAAAGCTTGACACAAGTCAAGTGACCTAAAGTGTTTTCTGGAACTGAATTCTAAAAGAAACTTCCCGTGTGCATTTTATACGTAGAACATTGATATATAGAATAAGCAATGTCCTTGACTATAATTTTATTAACAAATGCACAAGGAAGGATTGTCATATGGTTGTTTTTAAATAAATATTTACTCAATGAATTAATAAGTAAATGAATGAATAAAAGATCAATCTCTATCAGCTCAGTTGCATTCTCATCACACAAACCCTTCATAGATTTGTCAGCACAATAGAGCTAAACGCCCACTGAAGATTGTAATCAGTGCTAAACTAATAAAGAAATTCTTTTAAAATAAACCTAAACTGTATGGCAGATATTAACCATTTTAATCAAATGAAAAGATTAGGACAGTTTGGTTTATCTGCTAATAGCACTAACAAGGTAGGAAAACCTCGAGTCTTGGGGCATTACCTCATTGCTTTATAATTTTATGGAGCCTTTAGGATGAAGTGGTCTCCATTCTTCCTTCCTGATAGGCATAAGTTCGTAAAGCTCATTTTTGTTTAAAGAAGGTTTTCAAGCGTTCCTGGAATATATGTATTCCCCAGACCACGGAAGTATGAGGATCAGACCAGCCACATGGGCACAATGTCGCTCTTTACCCCACCTAATTCTGTCAGCTCTCTCCATCCAAACTCCAGTTCCTCAGTCCTTCTTATTTTTGATTTCAAGAGAGGAAATTCTGCCACCCAACAGTAGTTTCACGACTTTTCTAGCCTCTAGCCTCAAGACTAACTTCTCAGATGCAGAACATGTACTAAAAGTTCCCCGTGAGAGATTCGCTGAAGGATCCCAGCGGGGCAGTGAGATGAAATGCCCCGGAAGGTATATCCAAGAGGTTATCAATGCATCTCCCGGGGGTCGGCATTATAGACTACTTTGTACTTAAAATTTTTTCCCTTTTTTGGTATTCTCTAATTTTTCTATAATAAGCTTGTAATGTTGATTCATGAAAAGTTGTTTGGCTTTTTTTTACTAAGAAAGAAGCAGTGGCTGGGTAAGGTGAGTGGAAGGCTGCAGGTCTATCCCCTCAGTGGTGCCTCCCGGGAGACCCTTTTACTCTCGCCAATCCAGGGATAAACAGCCCTATCTCACCTGCTGGCAGGACCAAACGAGAAAACGCAGAGCTCAGTGGCTCAGGTTGACCGTGTGCTGATTATTATATTATATATTATATTATAATATATTAATAAACTATATTATATCGATACATTATATCAATATAATATCACAAATGGTAGCTGTTAACATTATAATTGATATTTTTATTTTGTGTAATAGCAGAAACAGCAACACAACA